TTGGAAGACGTCCATGAGATATCTTTCTTCAATTTTCCTTAATGTGGGAGTGCTGCAATGAGTCTTGGCTGACCCGCTTGAATAGAGTTTGTATACAATTCCTTTTGTGAATTATTCGATTGTTGCTGTTGTAATTCGATATTTTGTCTGTGTGAGTTGATTTTCTATGAACTTGAGTTTCTAATCCTCCTCCTGTGGTTGTTTACTTGAATGCAGTGAAGACATTCTCGCTGATAAAAAGTTCTGTCTGTCTGTTTTCGACATAGAAATTTGCACCGATGTGCAACAGTTCGAGTCACCACACTCCCTCCTTGTAACACACAAAACAAGAGAAGAAAGTAAAATGAAATACATAATAGAGACAGTAGACAGGGACAGGGAGAAAAAAGGAATAGTAGTAACGGAGATCATTATCGTTTCATTTGGCATTGTAAGTCACAAGGACTGAATGCATCTGCGCTATTCATTGAGAACGATTTTGAGCCATATCACCGATTGTCTCCAACTTTCATTGCTGTTTACTATCCTTGGGACCCCAATCAGTCAGGAAGTCTACATCTTCCTACGTAGCAGGCTGAAACTAACTGTTGTGGATTTCATTGACTGGTGAAGCCATATTTTGGTTTGACTGCCGCTAGCTCTTTTCAAGCTGACCTTATGTCAGTTAACATTACCCGTCAAGGAAGGCAATAACTAGACATACACGTAACACATAGCCTAACCATCTCAGTCGATGTAACTTCACAGCCTTGTCGACTGATTTCCCCTGCCATCTACAAGGATTCGATCGAGGATCAACCTCAATGTTGCCCATCCTATTATACCACTTCACAAGGGAGATAGAACGCACACACCTATGATCAAAGACAGCTAGCCAGACGTTTTCATGTCTTCCACTCTCAATGGCCATGTCTCACTCACAGTCATAAAGGAGGACGGAGCGGATCGGTGAGCAGTACATCCGCCCTTTGATCGATAACTGAACATCACATCTACACCGTCTCTGGCGTAGACGTTGGTAAAGAGATGCAAAATGGTTATGATAATGATTATAGTAATTCCTAATGGTTTATACGACACACTACTAAGCTATTCATCATCAAATATATACACATCAGAATAGGCGTGTCCTAATTCTAGTTTCCTCATAATCCTCCTTAATTGTTTGAATAATCGTTTGCTAATATTCCTTTAAGTGTTAGCCTTGGTACTCATTATTCGTGTTGAGGATGTTGTTAAACGCCTCCAAACTTACCTCATTACAATACTAATCGATAACCAGAAATAGTGAACCCATTACAGAAATACAACTTGTTTTGTTTTCATATATATATATATATATATATGCAGGAAAGTAGGATGGTCTTTTCACAAGTATAATCTAAGAGTTTTGTTTTGCAGCTTTCTTTTTGTGGTCATCACTATGAGCATTATTCATTGCAATGGTTTCTAGGAATTTCAAAGTTCGTTTATTTAAATGACTAAATACTGAACGCAGAAAAGTGGCCTTATTGCACATCCTCACTAATTGTAGCGTTATAGTTCGTTGCTGTAGGTAGTTTAATACTAAGTTATGAATTTTTTGTGTGTGCTTTTTAAACGAAACGAAGTAGTAAGAAAAAAATTTTTTCTGATGGACATATTGTTTGGTATTAAATTCTTGAAATAAGATATATTTGATGCAATTTTAACGGTAGGTAATTCCCCAGAATCAGTAACCACCATATTCATAATTGAACAATGGATGCTGACTTTCACTGTCTAAGTCGATTTGTTTAGATGAAAGCTTACAGTCAAGCATCCAAGCCATTTGGTATGGTGTCATTGTTACATTCGTTCGTTCGTGCACGATCCCCAGCCAGTTAAGCAATCATTCTTACACTTCAATTTCGTCCTGGAATATATACTTCGTAATTTAAACGACCAATTCTGGTTTTTTTTGGCTTTGTCTTTGTTCTACGCGGAACGAATACTATAGACGTTGTGAGGTATTAGATATTGCGTTAGTGTACATTGTACTTACTATCCGTGAACCTCAACACCCTCAGCCGCTAAACATTTTAATCCATAAAAGGTTGCTTGACACTGATGATATCTGCACACTGTTGGAGTGGATTAGAAGAGGCAGTAAGCTGAAGAGTTTAATGTATATTACTGCGTTTTCATGAAATCATGTTGGTAAATTTTGGCCTGTTTATTGAAACCTCCTAATACTTTTGAGGATAAAGTAGGTGGCTCTACTTCAAGAAGTGGATATGCCATAAATTATCGCCCAACAAAGAATATCCTTTCCGATAAATTCATCATGACTTTCTGCATTTTTATTTGATATAGTAATAAGTAAAGAAATATTGTCATTAACATTATTAGTGAGGTTTTAGATTACATTGAATCAATCGATAGATTATATTCTAAAAGTAGCATCAGTAAGAGGGAGAGAGAGAGATAAAGGTACCATACATCAATATGACATAAAAAGTGACCGAATATCAGGTCAGTTAAGAGAAGTGATAGAAAATTTATGAATTTATAGGTTCGACAGCAGGCCAGGTTAGTAATATTGGATGACTGAACCTGTTTCTTTTCCATGTAAAGCTCTGGTTAAATTAAGCAAATCGTAATGACCTCTGCTCTTTGGAGTATCGCCTATTTAGAGGTCTTTTGCAGTCTACTATGCGATCATTAAAAAGACTCTTAGACATATTAATAAATATGTGTAAAACTTGCGCACTCTGGTAGTATGTAAGTCCATATTAGTTAGACATATCACACACAGTCAGTGAAACAGTATTATTTACTAGATGAATCAGTTTCCAACAAGACTTTTCGCGGTTCATAATCATTTCAACAATTATAATCACACGACTTCGAAACTTGAGTTTTATTTGTTATTTGCCATTTGTCGTCGGAGGGGTAGTAGAATTCTCCAGATTTCCGGCTGGACAGGTGTTCAATCATTCCTGTTATATGTATTGTCTGTCAGTTGATTCGATAAACAAGGCCTCAGTCATTTATCAATCTCTCCCTCCCTCGAACCTGTGACATTCGATTTGAAAACTGTCATCTGATGATGAAGTTATCGAAAAGAGTATTCTTTGTTCAGTATCCATTCTTTTGAAAATTTCAATGGGAATTTTTAATCAGTTCAATTCATTCGTTACTAAATGCACAGAAGTACCTTAGAATGTGAATCAAAAACATGTCATTTCCCTTCCTGTACGACTGCACTATCCAAAAATCTATATATCACAGGCTAACATAGATAGGATAGTTTATCAACTTCCAGAGGTTTGTCCGACTGATTCAAAAACACAACCTGGTACGTACATTGAGTTCAAGGATTCGAAAAATCTATTCGGGAGACACAATAGTGAAGGAGTTAAATTCACTACATGAAAACCTATTAGAGAACGCGTATTCACCAAGATTTATAGAAAAAATGTGAAAGAATAGCCGCCGTCGCCAGAAATCACAACTGTTTCTAAGAAAACTCTCTTCATGAACATGGAATTCAAAGGTAACATCGAAGTAGAAATTCTTAGAAACCGTCTTGATAAAGATTTCTGAAGAAGACATTTCAATCAGGCACCTTACGTATCACATTCTCCAGTAGACAGTTAGTCCAGTCTAACGTTAAGGATAAGATACCGCTTTTGGCCACTTCAGTGTATGTGTATCAGTTTAATTGCTCGTATGGAGTAAAGTATATCGGCTGCACGCAACGTGGAGTTCACCAACGTATTCTGAAACACATTCTGAATGGCTAACTAGCCAGAGGATAAAAGAAGAATAACAGCAGCGCTATCCTCGAACACATTGTCAACTCTGGACATCGAGCACACCAGCATGAATGCTTCACAGTACTAAACAGAGTCCATCAAAGTACTTTGAATACTCCATCTGTACACAGATCGATCATTGGCTGCTTGAGTTCTGAAACCGGACCTCTGCACGCAAAAGCAGTACATACATCCACTCGCCCTACTGTCACCAAAATAACACCTTCACTATAATTTTATTCGTTTTTATTTTATAAGTTTACTATTATCCTTATTTCATACATTTATTCCCCTTTATGAATTTGTACAAAGCAAGAAGAACAGTTTTTGCAGAATAAAATGGTACCACCATTTATTTCGTTTGCTTCTCATCAGCTGTTTACAGGCCAAAGACATTATTAAGCATATCTACAGAAACAATTTTAATATACTTGCACAGAGAGTTCATTTTTAAACAAAAATCAATCAATTAATACATGCAAACAGTTATTATATGTAATATTAAACACTGTTCCGAACATTAATGATCATAAACAATGGAAACTTTCAACATTACGTAATCAGATGAAAGTGTAACCCTGAATGATGGTCACACTACCGAGCAGTTTGTTTTTGAAACATCAAGGAGATCATGGATTCTTTCCATGTATATCTCAAAGTAAAAACAACCTGAAGATAAGAAGAGTAGCACCACAAAAATTAATTTAATATGGGACTCCAAGTTCTCGTCCATTTGGTATATGTAGCTGAATATATCATGAACTATCCTCGGGATAATGCCTTGAAAGACTGGGTCAACTAAAATACCCTCCATGGTAAAATTCTTTCCAGCTGATGTTTGACCATAGGCGAATATAATTGCCATCATACCCATTCAACACATCAAGAACAATTGACTTGAATAAAACTTCGTACACGTCCAACTAAGATGCTTTGGGCTGAACTTTATAATCGAAGGTAAAGATTTTACCCCCAACAGATACAGTTGTATTTCCATTACCGGGGAATGACACCACAAAATTGCTGTCGTGTGCTCTCTCTTGCTTACTACTAAGGGGCCTCACACGGCAGACAACTTTAATGCTCTCGTTCATCGTAACAGCATGCTGGGTGAATTCTAAAGAGCCCGATAAATGTCTTTTAATTTCCTTAACGTTCTCTACGTACAGAATTGTTGACCACCTCTTGTTCTTCAATTTTTTGTCGAAGTCGTGCTCTTGTCTAGGCTTGTTTATTTATCGCATCATCTTTTTCATCCAGTTGTTTGTAAAGCAACTGTAACTCTTCAGCTTCAACACTTGCTCTTGAAGCAACACTAGCTCCAACAGTGACCCTGCCCGAAGTATAGCCTGCAGATGCATTTGTGAGACCATAAGATCGTGGTGTATGTGTACAGACGCTGTCTAACATTGGTGTACTGGGGACACTGGGCGTAGTAATCGAATCTCTTGTATCATCTATAGCAGCGGCATATTGATTTTCTGTGGACCAATCAATTTGATTAACAGTTTCACTGTCTCGCCAACGTTTTAATTCACTCTTCAGATGACTTACAGTATTGTGTGACTTACCTACCTTCTCCCTTTCCCGCGCATACCTCCTACGCCATTCATAAGCCGTAATTTCTTCGTTGACTTTTACCAGGTTCTTGATCGTATTAGCTAGCATACCGAACATTAAGGTGGACTTCGTTTCGGCATCATTGTAACCAGCAGGAGAACAACACATCACCATAGTTGTTCGTGCATTCTCTCCAAGAGATTCTTGAAGAATGCGGTTTAATTTAGATTCACGATAAGGACCGTAAGAACTTCCTACTAAAAGTGCATTGATCAGAGTACCAAGAGCAGAAAGTGATTGGTTAATATTTTGGCTTCGTCTAGTACAGTACCCTCAGAGCCTGTCGTCTGCATATTCTAAGTCAACGAGATTATTCCCTGGTAGCAAGTCAATCCCTGAGTCGCTGAAGTCATTTAGAGTTAAGTCCATTAGTACATCTATGATAAAGTTGAATAGAAAAGGAGATAATGGGCATCCTTGACGGACACCACTGGTCGCCACCAGTTCAGATGACAACTCGCCGTAAGCCCTCACCTGGCTGTATGAGTACGAGTAGAGTGCCTAGTTTCAGATTGGTGATAGCTTTAGTAACCTCAGTTAGTGACGGAGGACCTGTGTTTATATCCCATTCAGGGAGGTGTTGGATGCTCGGAAGGTTGAGCGTGGCTGTGGGCAAATTAAACTGCTCCTCATAATGCTCTTTCCAACGATCCAGTCGTCTATCCTGGGAGCTAATTATAGTGTCATTTTTCTCCGATATTGTTTAACTAATGATTTGTCTTCTCCCACCCGTTTCCTTGATGAGTCTAAATAGTTGCCTGGTGTTGCCTATCCTCGAAGCTTTCTCCATCTCTTTCGCCTTTGTCACCCACCACTGTTCACGGTCCTTGCGGAGACTTTTCGTAAGTTTCCTTTTGTGCAGCTTCCGCTCCTCATTGATTTCGGAGCTCGCCGGAATAAGTCTTCTAGCATCTATCAGTTCGGATGAGGCGGTAGAGATCCGGTGGTTTTTACTCACCTTTGAGTTTACCTTATTCACAGCTTTTACAGCTGTATCTATAGCTGACTGAATATTCTTCCAGGCTTCTCCAGGGTGAGCACAGCTGTCGAACTCAGATATGCGTTTAGCTAGTTCTTCCTCAAATAGGGATTTAGTTTCCTGATCGAGCTGGGGACGTGATAGTTTTACCGCCAGCTGTTTCCTACGTCCGTTCAGTCGTAAGCACACACGAGCCCGGACCAGTGCGTGATCGGTATCTACACACGTGTTCCAGAAGGAGCGACAATCTCCTACCGACCCACGCCAACGATAGCTTATTGCTATGTGGTCTATTTGTGTCCAGCGTTGGTTTGATGATGGGGGTCGCCAGGTCAAACAGTGTCTCTCCTTGTGTTTGAAGTTAGTGCTTACAAGAAACAAATGATTATCAGAACAGAACTGTAGGAGGCGGTCACCGTTGTCGGTTCGCTGGCACGGGACTCCATAGGTGCATCCGACATCCTTCTCAGATTGACACAATTTCCCTACTTGAGCATTAAAGTCACCAGCAAGAACGACTATATCTGAGCGTTTAGCCTTTCTCACCAAGCTAGACAGCTTTTGGTAGAACTCATCCTTCGTTTTATCCGAACTGCAGTCAGTGGGGGCGTAGGCGGAGATTACGAAAAGGCATTGGCGAGTAGTGCAGTCCTTTCTCCTTCTTACTGATCCGTTCAGACGGACAGTACACATTCGGCTATCTACCGGGATCCAGTCAAGCAATGTCTTTTCTGCCCTAGTACTCAAAGCTATCCCTACGCCAGCTAATCCTCGTGAACTAGCTGTGGCATCTCCTGACACCCTCAAGGTAAATTTTGCAGATTCAACCTGTTGGCCAGGTGGGGTTAGGCGAATAACCACACTTGGGTCTTGTATGCGTGTTTCTGAAACACAACATACATCAATGGCTCGGGATGCCAGAGTCTTGGCTAGTGAAGCTTGTTGTCCTATTTGGCTAAGTGTCCTAACATTAAATGCTCCTATATGAAATTGGTGGCGTGGCTTTAGGAGACTATCAGTGGTTTTTTGGCTTCCGTCGTTTTTAGTGGACACAGAGTGAAGAGGGAGTGAGGAGCCATCAAGTAGAGGAGTTGCATCAGTGGGAGGAAGGCAAGGTAATAGAGATGAAGCTGAAGACAAAGATAAGTGAGGATTAGAGAGGTTTTGTGTGCATTTCGGATTGTGAGGGCGTTTGTTACTTCCCGGCTGCCCACACCGTGGAAGTTGGTTGCGTGACCGCAGAGCCCAGGGGACAACTGCTTGAGGCCGGTCACACGCGGCCTGTTTTTGTTTGTTCTTTTTTGTTTGGCGTGCCTCAGTAGCAGATTTATCACTCCTGCCCTGTGACACGGCAGCAGGAAGCGCTGTAGTTGTTAATCCGGGCCATGGCCGATCCAGCATGACATTTTGTGGTTTTTTACGTATCATAATGTTGGATTGGATAGCTGCGTTTTGTTTAACCGCTATCGAAACAACCTGCCTGGCATGGTAGGACCTAAAGAGACATAAATCTCAGCCACTATAGCTTGTTGGAACATTGCGGTATTCAACCCCGACCACCACGTCAAGGTAGCAGCTTTCGGTCGGGTTTACATAGAAAGAAATCAGCCAAAATGAGACTCAAACAGATTTTATGTAAAAACGCTTTGTCGTCTTTCTACTAGTTTTTGTCCACTCTAAACAGATCATATTGGTTGGTCATTTTCCCAAATTCATTACGTCATGCCAACTTCCACCTCCTTTTCCAATGAGTTACCCCATCTAGACTACACCTTACGTTACATAATACATTTTCGAGGATAAATTTTGCCAGTTCTATAGTTCTATAATTGCTTTGTTAAATATAACCATAAAACACAAAGTGATTAAGCAAAGAATGTCCTTCTCGCTGTACTATTATATATGCATGTTTATATACATGGAATATTCTAGATTAGTAGTCAATAACAGCCTCTTCATAGCGAGTTGGTGAAACACAGCGTAAAGGATACTTTAGGATTTGTTGAAAGGATAAAAGATTTAAATGTTGACAATAAATTCATGATATCATTCGACGTATCTTCCTTATTCACCAATGTACCACCTATGGAAACAGTGGACTTTGTATCCGAAGAACCCATAAGACGAAATAGTGATGCTGGCATTCCTATATCTTTTATGAAAGAGCTCTTGAAATGCACAATGAATGTCCACATTTTATTTAATAAGGAACTATACAGAGAGGTAGATGGTGTGGCAATGGGGTCACCACTAGGATCCATTATAGCCAACATTTGCCTTGCAAAACTAGAAAATGGGCCTTCAAAAGATGTTATTGATGAACTTAAATCCTGCTTTATTCACCTTTATTACTTGTTTTAAACTTGAGTTCTGTTGTCGGTACATGGATGACACATTTCTGATTATGTAAAATGAGGAGGAAGTAAAGAACATCCTGGATAAATTTAACGAGGTTCATCCTGCAATAAATTTTACTATTTAGCAAGAAAATACTCTAGTATTTCATCTCTGGACGTCCTTATAACCAGAAAAGAGGATGGCACAATAAGAAGTGTTTACAGAAAACACACACCAACGGCTCAGTATACTCATTTTTTTTCAGCTTCGCGCCCTTAAAATACAAACGCAATCTGATAAAGTGCTTGGTTCACAGCGCAAGAGCAATCTGCTCGGATGAATATCTTGATGAGGAACTTAATAATATAAAACGGTTACTGAATGAAAAAACCGTTATCCAGAAAAGTTTATTGATAAGAATATGAATCTAAAATCAAAGCAACCCAAAGTACCAACACTTATTAAAAACGCCTTATTCTTACAAATGTAGTTCCTTGGGGACAACATCGCCGAGATACTAACACAACGCCTTAGGAATGCGGTAAAAGGAGCATTCCATGCTGCTGAATTACGCAGTGCCTTCAAAACCACTACTCTTTTGCGTTCGGGAGTAAAAGACAAACTGCCTAATTTCGCTTCTTCCATGTGTATCTACCAGTTTAACTGTTCCTTTGGAGCCACTTACATAGGCCGTACAATAAGGTGTGTTTCTCGTCGGATTTCCGAACACCACCCTGCATAGTGGTTAGGTAAAGGAAGAACAAAATCTATTCGTAGCGCCATTCTATCTTATCTTCAGGATGCGTCAGAACACAAGATTGATGTTAACAAGCAGGCTTTCAAAGTCATTTACCGCATACCAACAAATCTCGATTTCGCCTTGAGTTCGTTTACTAAACATTTCTGAGGCTGGCTGTTTTGGGATCCATATTAACAAGCCTAATTTGTGCTTCCAACAGAAGCTAGTTCAGACATTATCCCTACCTTGGCTATCTAGGTTTGAATGATCCCCAACCTTTTGTAGAAATTTCTTTAATTTTAGTTGATATTCTGTTTGCTGTTATATCTTTATTGTTATTAGTATAATTTAAGCATCTTTAATGAACTGTAATTCCATTGATCTTATTTTACAAATCGACATTATTTAAAAAAAACACCAATATTGTGGAAATCTCCCTTAATTTTAGTTGATATTCTATTTGCTATTATTACATTTATACAGTTATACGACAATGCTGCATGCCAAGTAATCCACAACGGGAAACTTACGGAAGCCTTCGAAGTGAGGACGGGAGTGTGACGAGGATGTCTATTATCGCCAATGATCTTCCTGGTTGCAGTAGAATGGATAATGCGACAGACAACGGCCAATAATAATAATAATAATAATAATAATAATAATAATTGCTTTATTCCAAAAACAGTACTCATGATACAGCAAGGAATTTTCAGCATTCAGTACAATATTGCATCTAATTTACCCAAAAACGACAAAAAAAATTAAAAATACACAATACATAATAGTAATAAAACGATTGTTGTAGCAGCTACGTAGCAAAATACTGTGTGCCATACGGAGAAAAATATGTATAAAGTACAAAATTGTAGTAATAATAGTAATACCAACTAATATAAAATAGCAGAGTAACGATTTAAACGATAGAAAGTGTAACACCATAAAATACAGAAAGATGAGCGATAAAAGGGTCGATTCACTGTGCTAATTACATAGTAACTTGTAAGTTTCACGTCTAACAGAGTCTTCGTCACATAAAGTACGCGCTAAATAGGGTATTGTAGAATTTCTATACTTAGTAGTACGAGCATATATCTTTTTATATTGACTTCTCGTCCTACCTGATGAGATACAAGGGGACAGGTGTGAATAAAGGGGGTGCAGAGGGTCTGACATTATAGCCTTTGCCCATTTCGTACAGGAATTTATATGCCTCTCGACTATAGTATTAGCGAGCTCATGCAGTGGCAGACCA